CCCTTTGAAAGGCCAGAGTTGGAATGTTCCAAGCTAGCATCTATCCAGCTCCCAGTCTCTCTGGCACTATCCATGCCTAGAGGCTATGAGACAGGTTTTTTTCCCAACTTTAACTTTTAAAAAAGCTTTCAAAGACCTGCCCAGCCAATCTTCCAAAAGCTCGAACCACAGCCCAGACACCTGAGGCATCCAGGTGGCATGACCACAGTCCACTACTCTGCAGGGAAAAGACTGGGCCCAAATGGTACCAGTACCTTGGTGGAAGCAGACAGAACCAGGTGGAATCCAGGCCTTTGGAGCAGAGGCCAGAGGGCCCACCACTGTCTCTGTAAATGTCAAGAAGCCAGGATATCAAGTACTCCAATGAGGCTAAGCAATGTGGGGCATGGGTGGACTGAACTAATCTCGTCACCTCTTCAAACTTCAGGTTTCTTCTTCTTAACATGGGGCAACAGCGATACCCACCTTGCAGGCTGCTATCTGGTTTGAACAAGACCATCTGTCAGTGCCCAGCAGTGAGCCGGTAACACTAAGACTTCAAAGTCAGTTTCCCTCTGCTCCACCTGAGGCAAAGTGTCCTCCTTGCTGTCCTCAAATGTGTCAGGCCACCCTGCCTCTAACAGGGCCTTGCTATTCTTGTTGTCTGGAATGTTCTCTCTCCTGTTAACTACATAGCTCACTCCCTCATTTCCTTCAGGTCTCTGCCCAAATGACACCTTCTCAATGAGACTTCCCTGACTGCCCTACTTATAATGAACTCAGACATCCCTTATCCCCCTTGCCTGCCTTATTTTACAGTAAGCACCAACCATCACTGGATACACTATATCACTAACTTATTAAACTTTTTCTATTTGTTACCTGTCTGCTCCTACTAGAATGTGTGCTCCACAAGGGCAGGATATTTCTGCTCCAATGAAGATGGGTATTAGCTCTTGCTCCCCTTATCTGTGAAGTACTATAACTGCAGTAGGAAGAGCAAGTGAGGTTCAGAGAGAGTGGGAAAAGCATAGATAACGTCTTAGGGCCCATCACCCTTTAGTCCCTCCAGGAGGTTCTGAGAGCAAGCATTAGGAACAGAGCCTACACCATAGGGCAAAGGGATCTGACTACTCAGGATACCCTCTTACCAGCTCAAAACTCTCCATTGGTTTACCACTGCTTTTCCAAGGAAGATCAAACTGCCCACCAGACCACTCCAGTCAGCCCCTGCCTCCATCTCCCCAGGGGCATCTGGCCGTTGTACTCCACACTTCAGCTGCTATGGACACATTTTTTTTTTTCTTTTCAGATGGAGTCTCGCTTTGTCGCCCAGGATGAAGTGCAGTGGCTCAACCTCAGCTCACTGCAACCTCTGCCTCCTGGGTTCAAGTGATTCTCCTGCCTCAGCCTCCCGAGTAACTGGGACTACAGGTGAACGCCACCATGTCTGGCTAATTTTTGCAATTTTAGTAGAGACAGGGTTTCACCACGTTGGTCAGGCTGGTTTTGAACTCCTGGCCTCAAGTGATCTGCCTGCCTCGGCCTCCCAAAGTGCTGAGACTACAGGAGTGAGCTATGTCATCTGGCCTGCTATGGACTTAAAAAAAATTTTTTTTTGAGACAGTGTCTTGCTCTGTTGCCCAGGATGGAGTACGGCGGCATGATCATGGCTCATACTGTATCCTCAAACTCCTGGGCTCCAGAGAGTGGACTTTCTTGAGGCCAGTGTGTACACAAGTTCCCTCCCACCAGAAGGCATTTACAATTTACACCTCAGCTATTCCTGACCAGGGCAATCTGCCATCCGTCTCTTTTTTTTTTTTTTTTTTGAGATGGAGTCTGGCTTTATCACCCAGGCGGGAGTGCAGTAGCAGAGTCTTGGCTCATTGCAACCTCTGCCTCCGGGGTTCAAGCAATTCTAGTGCCTCAGTCACATGAGTAGCCAGGATTACAGGCGTGCACCACCACGCCCGGCTAATTTTTGTATTTTTAGTAGAGACGGGGTTTCACCATATTGGCCAGGCTGGTCTCGAACTCCTGACCTCAAGTGATCCACCCACCTCAGCCTCCCTAAGGGCTGGGATTACAGGCGTGAGCTACCGTGCCCGGCCCATCCCTCTCATTCTTAACACTTATTGTAGTGCTAAGTATATAGTTGCTTTTGTGATTCTTTGATTTGTCTACCTTACTAGAGTGTAAGCTCCAGGAGAGCTGGGAGATGGTGCTCACCATCACTTCGTACTGCTCGTTTATCCATTTCACACGGTTTTTGGTGCCCATGAACCAGACACCATTCGAACACCAGGAAGCGCCCCGAGTACCGGATTAATCAACCAAGTAAGAAATGACTGTACCACGAGTTCGACTCCCAAAGCTGTTCGTCTCAGTACAGGCAATCGCTAAAGGCCTCAGTTCCAGCTCAACTAAGGGGCTATGGGGTCCCTTCTCCAGGCGCTCCCCCGAGGGGCTGGTTGCAATCCACTCCCGAGACTCGCAGCAACCTCCTCGTCCCAGGGGGGCCGCGCTGCGCCTAGCCACGTGGCGAGAGACTTAGGAAACTTAAAACACCCGCTACCAGGAAGGGGGTGGAGGTAAGGGACGCGGGAATTACAAAGTTCGGCCCCTGCGAGCACACTTTCTGGCCCAACCCACTGCACAGATGAGGAAAGTGAGGCCCAGGGGAACTGAAGTCGCAGTGGGGAGGCAGAGATTGCGGCTCCTCTGGAACCCCTGGCCCGCGCAGTCGAGCACTGCGGGACCCGGCTCCGGGCGCCCACCGGGTCGCCTGGGGACGGGGCGCGGGCCTCTGATCTCCACATCTTGCACGCGGCCCTCGCACACGGCCCACGAACGCTTACCTGGCCGCTCTGCTCCTTCACTTCCCGCGCCGCACGCACATAGCCAGCCCGCAGCAGATGGTGGTAGATCAGGGGAAGTAGCTCCCGCCGCTTCCTGGCCTCGGCCATGCCCGCGACCCCCGGACCGCCGGCTACCTGCACGCCCCGCCTTAGTCCCCGCCTGCCACTTCCCTCGCGCCCTAAGACCTCGCGCGACCCACTTCCGGCTCCTCTTTGGCTCCGGCCGCGCGGCGCGCCGGGAAACGTAGTCTCCTCTCCAGGAGTGGCCGGCCCCGCCCCTCAAAGCGAAAGGGGCGGAGACTCGTGGGCAACAAGACCGCCCATTGGCGCTGAGCAGGCGGGGCTAGACAGGGACCCGCCCCCGGGCCCGGCCGTGACATGGATGACTCTTTTAATCTTTCCGGCCGGCTCCTTGAAGAGATTTGTCTTCCTTGTTAATTCTCTGATGGCTGGGTCTGCGTTTTACTCGTCTCTGAACTCCCTAATCTGGATCTTTTTCTAGATCCGAACTTCGTACTGCCAGTATCTGCTCGTTTATCCATTTCACACGGTTTTTGGTGCCCATGAACCAGACACGAGTTGTCAGGTTATTCATTCATTCATTCGCTAATTAAACAAATCTGTAGTAAGCACTGTAACTTGGGCTAGCACCGGGCTAGGCTAGGGGGATTCAGAAGATGCATAATACGTGGCGGTTGCCCTCAAAGCTCACAGAGACGACTGTCCGTAACCAAGCAACTATAGTTCAGTATCTGGTGTGCATTGTCAGCGACAGATGCGGCCTATGGGCGCCCCAAGGAGGGGCACCAAACCCCAAAGAGATATCTAAGCTGAGGCATAAAGACACCTGAAATTGCTGGGTGCAAAGGAGAGGACTGGCAGAGGGTACTGCTTGAGTCTAGGCATGAGAAAACACCCTGCTATTGCCTGGGAACCCTAAACCCAGAACTCCCAGTCTGCGCTGCTGGGCTGTCGAGGTGGGGTGGGGTGGGCTGGGGAAGAGGGAACAAATGACGGCCCATGAGGATGAAGAAGTAGACAAGGTCTGCCACACCCCCACCCCGAACGGAGTCTGGACTTTGCTCTGAGGGCATTAGATAGTCTCTGACTGGCTTTTCAAAGGAGGTTGACCTTGTTTTGTGTTTTTAAAAGATTGCTAAAACCAAAGCACATACTATTAATACTAAATGTGAGGCTGTTGTAGTTGTTAAGGGAAGGTTGGCAGGGAAAAGGTGAGGTAGGCTGGAGAATGTTAGAGTCAGTTGTTCTTAACTTCATGGACCCATTGAGAATCTGATGGCAGCATGTTTCTTACCAGTGCAGGAGTCCCTAACCCTAGGAGGTCCAGGTATGTGCTTATGTTTGTCTTGAACTTGAATGGAAAATGTTACGTGTCTGTACACATTCAACATTTCCGATTTTCTTGAGCAAATATTTATTGAGCACCTACCATCGGGGATGGAATAGTCTCTACTCCTATAGAGCTTATAGTCTAATGGAGGAGACTAATAGTCATACAATACAGTGTTACAAACAGCAGGTAAGTGCCGGAAGGAAAAAGATAGTGTTTTCTTATGTAATAATATAGTGTTTAAAAGCTGCACTGGAGTCACACTGCCTGGGTTCAAATTCTGGCTTTGCCTCATTAGGTGACTTTGGGCAAGTTACATAACTTCGCTGTGACTCAGTTTCTTTATCTGTACAATGGAGATAATTATAATTTCTACCTCATTGGGTTGTCATAAGGAGTAAATGAATTCTCAGCAGAAATGCTTGGAGGAGCTCTGAACAATAGCGCTCTGTGTGTGCGTGTGTGCTATTATTGTGAAAGCATATAACAGGAAGGAAGGATCTATTTTTTTCTTGGGAGTTAGGGAAGGATTCCCTGAGAAATTGATGGTTATGAGGAAACCAGAACTATGTGTAAGGGAGAGTCGGGGAGAAGAAACCTGAGCAGAGGGAAGAACCTGTGCAAAGGGCCTAGGGCAGAAGGTACAGCTGAGAGAATAGACAAGAAAAGGCCTTTGTAGCATGGCCCAGAGGGAGAGCAGGGGAACTGGGGAGTGTAGAAGGTGGGCAGAGGGCAGACTCCATGTGAAGGACTGGGCACATCAGGTTTTTTTTTCTCCATCCTAAGAGCCATTGGAAGCCACTGACGGTGTAAGCCCAAGAGGTGCAGGATGAAATCTGAATTTTACTGTGACCTGTGTGCCTGCCCAGTGGAGAGTGGAGTGTGTCTGGTGGGTATGAGTAGATGTGGGAAGACAAGCCAGGGTTAGGAGTGCAGGCAGGCATCCAGGGAGAAGACAGTATGTGTGTCAGGGGCGGGGGAGGGGGTGAAGTGGTAGGGGAGGGGGTGGGGGGGCAGGGCGGGGGGGGGTGCTGGTGGCAGTGGAGTTGGAGAGCAGTGGAAGGTTCCCAGAGTTAATCAGGAACTAAAGTTGTCACAGAGGTGTGTTGGAATGTGAGGGGAAGGAAGAGGCAATGTCAGAATGGACCTTGAGGTTTCTGTGCAAACAAGTAGGCAGTATCTTTCACTGAGATAGAAAAAACTGGAAGAGGATTGAGACGGGGGTGGTTTGATTGAGGAGAGGAGGATGTGGACAGAGAGGTGAAAGTATATATTCTACATTAGACATCTTAAGCTTGAAATGCCTTACAGTCACCATGTGCAGATGTTGAGAAGGTTCTTGGAAACCTGGGTTTGGACGTGGCGTGGAGGTCTGGGCTAGAGATGAAGATGAGAAGTTGTCGATAGAGAGATGATAACTGCGGCTGTGGATGAGAAGAAGCTTGCCCAGGGCGAAGAATGTGGAGAGAGAAGAGAGATGGCCCAGGACGAAGGTTTGAGGTACATCTACAGATTAGGGCTGTGTACACAAGGATCTCCTGCAAAGGCTGATCAGGAGTGGCTGGACAGGCTGGAGAAAGCCCAGGAGAGTGGGCTTATGGAAGGAGGCCAAGGGAGACATTTTAGGAAGCTGTGAAGACTTGATGGAGGGAAATGCTCTGAGGGGTCAGATAGGAGGAGGGTGCAGCCCTGGGCTTTGGTTTATGGACAGGTGTGGAGACTGTTGGGGCCTTAGGGAGGGCTATTTATGTGTGGCATGATGGAGGGGGTCAGATGGCAGTGGTCTGATGGGTGCAGGAGGGATGAGGGAGGCAGTGGGTCTTTCGAGATGATTTTGTGTAAAAAGGACGAGAAGGATAAAGTGATAGGTCCAATATGTATGTTAGGGGAGGTGTGTTTTAAAGTAGAAGAAACCCGAGATTTGTTTAAAAGTGAATGGCAGATCCAGGAGAGACAGGTTAATCAAGAGTGTAAGAAATAGGGGAGATAATCAGTGAGTACAGTTCTCTCAAGCATGTGCGAGGGGCTGGGATCAGGCATGTGGGTGGGGGAGGTTGGTCTTGGGGAGGAGGAGGGATGAGTTCTCTAGAACCCAAAAGCAGGAACAAAGAGAGGATGGGTGCAGATGTAGATGTAGGTTTATAGTGGGATGTTAAGGGAGATTTCATTTTGAGCTTCTATTTTTTCTGCAAAGTGGGAGGCAAGGTCTTCTGCTGAGAGTGAAGAAGAGGTGGTGAGGAGTTTGAAAGAAGGAGAATGATCATTCAGAGTGTTGAGAAGCAACTTGCCCACAAAATCCCCAATCGCCTGACAGTCTTGGCTCCCCAGTTGAGGTTGGTGGTCCTTAGTGTATGTGTGTCTCGTCCTGTCCTGCTGAGTGAAATCCTCCATCAGGGCTCAGCTACCCAGCTGCAGGCTGGGAGGATGTATGTACACAGTGGGATTTATCCAGGCCTAGGGCTTTGCCAAATGGGTAGGGAAAAAACGGCACAGGGGTCTAAAGTGTTGGCAAAGAGATGCTAAAATTCTGGGTCCTGGGATCTAGGCTGGGTAGTGAGGGAAGCAAGGCAGATGGGGTGTTTGCAGGGAGAGAGTGGAACCCTTTATGGGCCAGGCCTTATGAGGTTGGGAGCCCTGAGATCAGAGAGGGCTGGGAGCTGGAACTGGTGGTGACACCCAGGTTTCCGCTTGGGTGGCTGGATGGGTGATGAATATACATGATGAGCACACAAACCATTGTGAGATCTAAGATTTTTTTCCACCAACACCTCCAGGAACCAGTTTTCATTTCCTTGAGGGCATCAAGGCCCCACTTGAGAATGCATGCCTTAGTAGAATGTAAACTCCCTGAAGGCAGACTTACCTTTGCCTTGTTGGTTGCATTATTTCCAACATTTTGCACAGTGCCTGCACACAGCAGGCACTTAATAAGTATTGGCAAGGGCAGGAATGGTTACAGACCTCTCCGGAAGAAGAAGGGAGGGCAGGGCAGGCAAGGAGCTCACTGAGTCTAGGCCTGGAGGCAGCAGTGTGGAAGGCTGTGGAAGGCAGTGGGGAAGGAACTGGACTGTGCATCCTTGGCTGACCCTGGAAGAAATGCAGAACTGGAATTAAATTAAAGAAGGAAAACAAAGCCGCACCAGGATGGTCTAATACCTTCTGTCTGGCAACAGGTTGTTTGTTTTCGTTTTGCTCCTAATAAAATTCATTGTCGGCACTTATGCTTTGTCCTCGGCTCCTGGGAGGCTGCCTCTTCTGTGGACAATTTCTTTATTTCCCTCATTTTCCAAATCATACCCTTCACTGAATTGCCTCAGGGCCCAAGCACAAAATTAGAACATTACACTGATAAAAAATATAACATGGCAACAATTAAGACAGCAGCAAACAAAACAGTGCATTAAAAAAAAAAAAAAAAAAAGCCTCAGAGCATTTCTCTACCAGTAAGAGAAAATGCCTTTGTTAGTGGTAGAAGCCAGATGCTCCCAGACCACTGCACTGCGAGTGCCTCTCGGGGAAGCAACATGCTTTAGTCACCTTGGATTCCCAAGCAGGGCACGGCGAGGTCACTCAGGAAATGAATGAAGAAAGAATGAACAACAGAAGAGAAGGAAGCTCAACAGATGGGACACTCTACCTGCCTCACCCAGCAGGAATGGCTCTGACACAGAGGTGGGAGGTAGCAGGGATACAGGGGAAAGGCTACTGGGCCTCTCCCCTGTGTTACTGTCAGGAGTCAGGCCCTTTTTGCCTGGCTCAGCTGTGTGACCTTGGGCCAGTCTCTTGCCCTCTCTGGTCCTCAGCATTACCTTCTGTTAAATGAAGCTGTTGAACAAAGACCCTTCCAGTAGTGGGACTCTCAAGGGAAGGGCTCATCTGGGAAGGGTGTCCTTCCCCGTGGCTCCCTTCATCCATTGTAACAACAGATTTTCCCTGGACCAAGTCATTTTGGCCAGGAGATTTCCCAAGGCTTCCTTCTTTTTCCTGAGATGACAATTTGTCTCTTTCTTTAATCTCACAGTAGCTTTTAAAGGTTTACAAGTTGTTACTGAAGTAACAAGTTAAACAATTCAGAGATATATTTAGATAAAGTCAATCATTTTCCCCTCCCTCTTAGCCATTCCCAGCCCACTTCTCCACACTCTAGCTTCTTCCTTTCCCAGACAGAAAGGAGCCTGGTATTCGATCCCTTCACATCCTTTCTCTGCCCAGACAAACACAGACATCCTTCATATGGTTTAGTCCCCCTTCTCCTTTTCCTTTTTTCATTTCTCTTTACCTCTTTTTTCTTTTTCTTTTCTTTTCTTTTTGTTTTGAAATGGAGTCTCACTCTATTGCCCAGGCTGGAGTGCAATGACATGATCTCGGCTCACTGCAACCTCTGCCTTGTGGGTTCAAACGATTCTCCTGCCTCAGCCTCCCAAGCAGCTGGGACTGCAGGCATGCAGCACCACGCCCAGATAATTTTTGTATTTTTAGTAGAGATAGGTTTCACCATGTTAGCCAGGCTGGTCTTAAACTCCTGGCCTCAAATGATCCGTCCGCCTCAGCCCCCCAAAGTGCTGGGATTACAGGCGTGAGCCACCGTGCCTGGCTTCTTTGCTTCTTTTCTTACAAAAGGGACTCATACTAAACACTCAACTCTGCAACTCTCTTTTTTCACCTAATAACAATACAGCAGAGCTATTTCTCCAGATGCTGGGATCTGCCACACTCTTTTGAGTAATAGTAACAGCTATCATTTGTTGAGAGTGTGCAATGAGCTGGAGTGGTGCTTCCAGGCTCCAACACTAACCAACCAAAACCTCACAGCATCCTATAAAGTATGTCAAATGGTTGTAGATGAGGAAACTGAGGCTCAAGACAGGCTCCAGCTTCCAGAGGGCTCATAACCAGTCCCCCAGTAGGGCCATCAACAGACAGAGATGGTAGATGATATGATGTAGGCTCTTCGCCTCTAGTTTTTTGGCTAATACAGTAGTGTTGCTCTAAACATTCCTAGTAAATACATCCTTGCAGACTGGAGCTTTAATTCTGTGTGATGTAATTGAAAGTGGACCAGAGGGGATGCATGTGTTTCATTTTAATAGCTAAAGCCCAATTAACTGCCAAAAGGGTTGTAGCAATTCATAGCTTCATCAGCATAATTTCTTATTTTTGTGGTTTTATTTCTCAGAGCTAGAAGGGTCCTTGGAGAGCATCTAGCCCAGCTCGCTCCTCTTGCTGATAAGGAAACAGGCCCAGTGACAGGAAGTGACTCAACAAGGACCCCAGCAGGTTAGAGGCAAAGGGAAGTACCTGTCTACCTTTCCCTGGGTCATTGCCACATCCTCTTCCCTCCCCGCTGCCCCTGCCTTGGCTCTCTCTCCTTTCCTGTCCACTCTCCACACTGCTCTCGGCATCACACCACTTGCCTGCTCATTAAACCTCCCCTAGCTTAACCACTGACTGCAGGCTCAAGTCACATCTTCTTCTTAGGCATTCAAAGCCCATCCCAGTCTGTTCCCTGGTGTGTCTCTTATCCAAACCAGCAGCTAAATCTTGAGTACTCTCTGTCCTCAGAACATCTCCCTCCCTTCACACCATTTGGACAGAACTGCCTTTTTGCTCTTTGAAGTTTGACTGTTTCCTATTTATCTTTCAAAGCCAAGTGCAAAGGCCACCTCTGCAATGGTGCCTTCCCTGACTGCCCAGCCTTCCAACCCTGGACAGTCAGTCATCTCTGTTCTGCGACAAGGCGCCCCTGCCTCCACCCTTCCTGGCTGCTTCCTCCCGGAGGTCATGTGTTGCAGAAGAACCAGCCAGGAGGGGGCAGTGCACAACCGAAGAAAGGTCTCTCAAAAGGTCAAGGTCACCAGGGTGCCTGGGGCCTGCCCAGTGGGGCCACCTGTGGATATCAGGTTCCACCCCAGTGGCAGGACCTTTGGCGAGCTCCACCCCTTTGTGGGCCTCAGTTTGCATCTCTGGGGTTTGCATTTGCAGGGTTGGACTAGCTCAGTGTTTCTGAAAGTGTGGTGATGCACAAAGTGACTTCAAGAGAAAAAAAGATGGACATTTTAAAATGGAAATCATTATGTATTTATTTTAATGTGTATTAGACAAAAAATAACTAGCACATCGAACCTGTTATTTCGCAGATATTATTGCTTAGAATGGGGCTAAAGTAGGCATTCAAGTAAAAAACAGTGAGTCAATGTAAGAGAAAGTACCAATTAAATAATATACAAGTGGTAAGACAGCAGTGAATGGCTGCAATCGGGAAAACATTAGTCTGCTTTTGATGTTCTAGAATGCTGTGATTTGCAGACTCCTGCCTTTGGTAGGGGTGGAGACAGGGAGAAAGAGCTGCCTCAGGGCTGGGAGGCTGGGCCTTGGGCAGAGGGTCAGGAACGCAGCAAATGGGCCATGTGTCCCTGCCCCCCAGACCCTCCTCCACCTGTGGAGGGTACGAGGGCTGGCTCCCCCTCCCACCTTCTTTCTCAGCTTCTCTGTGGTTACTAAGGAGTGGGAGGCTGAAAGGGGCCTCATTCTGGAAGCTCATCTGCTCCCTCATTCTCACCCAGCACCCTGCTTGGCATAAACTATTCAGGGTGATGATGATAAACAAGGATGCAGGAAGGCACTGGGGGTGGGAGGAGAAAATAGGCGATGTGGACAGAGTTTGCTCACATACCTGAATGTCCAACCTGCCACGATTGTCTAATGATTCCTAAGCTTAGCTGTGCAGTGGAATCACCCGGCTAGTCGAGGAAAATACAATTCCAAGGCCTCACCTCAAGCAACTCCCATTTTGGGACCCCTGCATCTGGACTTTTAAAATCTCTCTAGTGTATTCTGAGGCTTTCAAGCTTTCAAACTGCACACCTCCCTCAGTGTACCTGTGGAGATTCAGAGAGGTTGTGTCACTTACTTAAAGTCACCCAGCAAGTCAAGAGCAGTTGTCCTGACTCCCAGCTCAGTTCTTCCCACTGAGTGTCCCTTGTTGAGCCTAGTCCATGGTTAGCAAAGATAACCCCGCTGAAAAAGTGGTGGGGTTTCTTTGGGCCTCCCTTTGGGCTTGTCAAGGACTTTCTACAGAAGAAAACAAGCTGTATGAGCTACCATCTGCTGAGAAGTGCAGAGGGGTTGCAAGGGATGGTGGTGGGAGAGGGTGGAGGGAGATGCCAGTGGAGGGGGTGGTTGGGAGATGTGGCCTCCTCTTGGAGTTGCCAGCCTGCACAGTCAGCCTGCTGAGGGCAGGAGGAGCTAGTTCGC